GGATACGTCCCCTGAAAAGGGGCGGCGAGATTCACCTTGCTCAGCACGGCTCGTAGCAGCGTCCGAAATCGACGGATGGATGTAAGGGTTCTGGTGAGGGAAATCCCAGGTGCAAAATTCGGCGAAAGTTAGGCGGAGGATGGATGCATCATCCACGATATTGCAATCATTGTACCCATCCTCCTCCAGTGCCGGTGCACTCTCTCTGGACTCTATGGTCGCTGGCCTCGCCCTTTTGTCGCCTTTTCTTGTCGCGGCTCTCGGAGGGAGTGATGAGCAACCGATTGCCCATCACCCCCTCCTGCGACAGTCGCGGAAATACGGGAAGAAGGACCGTAAGGCCAGCGACCGGTGAGTGCGGAGAGGGAGCGCCCAAGCACGGCGAAGGATAAGCTTGTGGATGGTACATCCCCCGCCTACCTTCTCAAGCATTGCCGAATTTTTCGCACCTGGGATTTGCCCCCATTAGACGCCTTCACCCCTCGTCTATCCGTTTTTCATCCAATCCCTTTGGGCAGGCTTTCATCCGATAGAACGAAAAGATCCCCCAACGATGGGTGTTGTCGGAGTTCGAACGTTTGTGGACATGTTGTTTTGTTCCTTTTCCCATTTTTTTGTGGCCGTTGGTAGCCAAAACCGGGAAGCAAGGACACCACCCGTTGTCCAAGTATTGGGGTCTTGGTGGTGACCCTTTTTGTGGTACGACCGGTACCGGTGCTGCTACTCCATTCTGTACAAGGTGTACGTGTATTGATGAAAAATGCGTCGTTGGGTGGTTGAGACCTTGGCGTTTTTTCTCGTGTTCGTAGAATTGTAGGAAACTGCTTGTTTCCGTTCGGATCCGATCACCTTGTCTTCTTGTCGGGTCGTTGTTGTTGCTAATGATGGTTCTATCCCTCGTGTGCCTCGCCTACAGCTGGGTGTGTTTTTCGGTGGCTCTGTTTGCTCTGGCCGTTGCGTGTTCCGTCTTGAACTGCGCGTGTTCGTGGGCACTGACCCTTGTGCATCTCACCTCTTGATTACGTGTGTCTGCTGGTTGTGTCTCTGAACGTGTGTCCACCAGGAAACATCGATGCAGCGGTTGGTGACCATGTTGCAACAGGCGGAAGAATACGTGGGGACCGTTGTCGATGGGAAGCTTCCCGCCGACCCTCACATGGGCCGTAAGGTGCGTTTTCACGTCATGGATTTATGTGATTGTTGTTGAACTCCGTCCTTGTTGATTAATTGTATGCATACTGTTCATGAGGGCTTTGTTGTTGTGCCGAGCACGGGTCGCACGCATGGTGCTGATTTGTTCTGTGTTTTGCTTTTATTTTTGTCGCTGATGAAGCATGTGATCATGTTCTCACCCGTCCGTCCATGAGTTGGAACCTCATGACGTATACAACATGTTGGCGTTTTGGTCCTGTGAGCTACACATGAAAGGTAATTTACGCCTGATCTCCGTGATGATAAAAACATGAGTGAGGACCAAATACTTCCACCACACGTTTCTGAGCAAGTCCATCGCTAGTGAAGGTTTATCTTGAACGTATACGAAACGGTGCCGTCCGGTTGAAAGCATCGTGACTCTGCGCTATTTTGCACGCGTTTTTGCGTTTTGGTCCTGTGAGCTACACATCAAAGGTAATTTACGCCTGATCCCTGTGATGACTAAAACATGAGTGAGGACCAAATACTTCCACTATACGTTTCTGAGCAACTCCATCGTTAGTTAAGATTAATTTTGGAGATATATGAAACAGTGCAGTCCGGTTGAAACCATCGTTACTCTGCCATGACGTACACGTATTCGAGGTTTGGTCCTGTGAGCTACACATGAACGGTAATTTACGCCTGATCCCTGTGATGACAAAAAAATGAGTGAGGACCAAATACTTCCACCACACGTTTCTGAGCAAGTCCATCGTTAGTTATGATTAGTCTTGGAGAGAAATGAAACGGTGTCGTCCGGTTGAAAGCATCGTGACTCTGCTATTTTGCACGCGTTTTCGCGTTTTGGTCCTGTGAGCTACACATAAAAGGTAATTTACGCCTGATCCCTGTGATGACTAAAACATGAGTGAGGACCAAATACTTCCACTATACGTTTCTGAGCAACTCCATCGTTAGTTAAGATTAATTTTGGAGATATATGAAACAGTGCAGTCCGGTTGAAACCATCGTTACTCTGCCATGACGTACACGTATTCGAGGTTTGGTCCTGTGAGCTAGCTACACATGAACGGTAATTTACGCCTGATCTCTGTGATGACAAAAAAATGAGTGAGGACCAAATACTTCCACCACACGTTTCTGAGCAAGTCCATCGTTAGTTATGATTAGTCCTGGAGAGAAATGAAACGGTGCAGTCCGGTTGAAACCATCTTGACTCTGCCATCACGCAAGCGTTTTCGCGTTTTGGTCCAGTGAGCTACATAAAAGGTAATTTACGCCTGATCTCCGTGATCTCCGTGATGACGACAACATGAGTTAGGACCAAACAAGAACTCGCGGCGCAATGCTTTCCGCTGAAACCGTGGCCGATACAGATACAGCTTGACCATCCCTTGCGGCCCACCTAACTTTTCGGTGTTACTTTATCAGTACGTCTTCATCCGATAGGTCTTACATTCAGAATATGTGTACTGGCAGTGTTTTTGCAGGAATGCTTGGTTTTGGTTATTTTTGAGATTTTCGTGTTTTGCCATCCAGTGTTCAAGGCGGACCTGTGTCCTCTTTGTGTGACCTACCTCTGTCACCTGTTCGGGCTTTGAAAATGACGGGCTCTGGTGGAAGTTTCGCGAGTTTGGTCCGGTGAGCTTCACATAAAAGGTAATTTACGCCTGATCTCAGTGATGACAGAAATACGAGCGAGGACCATTCTAGCGGTATGCATAGGGGTCACGCAAGATACCCCAGGGGCTGTTCAGTCTCGAATGCAGACAGAAAAATGCGTCCTCAGGGAGGCGATTTGTCTCGGCACCCTCTCCCAGTGTACAATTGTAGAGCACGAGGCCTTGGGTCGAGAACACTTGCACAACCGTCATGTGTTATTGTTAGGAACGGGCCTGGACTGGACATGTCATGTTCGTCATGTTGACTTGTCGATTGGTGCACATGGCGGGGCACCATGCCCCCTTTCGCCAGTGCGGATCTGTTTTGTGAGGGTGTTGCCCGTTCGGAGCAGCTAGACCCACGCGACTGTCTCATACATTTTTTTTCTTTCCCTCAAGTCTCGAATTGAAGGATATCGCAGCTCACTGCCTGTGTGCTTGGACAACATGTAACTTGAGATCGTTTTTTGTGTGACCCGCGAAGAGACGTCCTGTGAGCTTCAAATTTAATTCAACTCTGAGCTTCGGCGCCGCAGAGAGAATGTCGAAATCAGTGAGGGCGAACGACAGGCTGCAGACCGCGCTGCATGTTAGACAAGTAGGTTTGGAGGGAGATGTTTCGATCGGCCAGAAACAACAGATCGCCGAGAGGGCTTGAGTGCTCATTTATGCTGTGATGCCGTTGAGTGTGACTTTGATAGCACTGTGGTGTGCTTTTTTTTGCTTCTGTGGTGTGCTTTTGTGTGATGGCCCGGCGCGGCTGTTAATATACCGGCGTCGGTGCGCGTTTCGGTCGAGTGCTGTAGGCCTAGTTGTCCAAGCGCACACGATCGCGTACCGTGTGTTGATCCTGCCCAGCCTGGTGCCCTTGTCGTTGGATAGACTTGAAACGGATGGGTCCCACGAATGTCGTTCCCTCTGTCACGACTTACGCATTCTTGGTGCCTTTAGTATATTGTCGATCGCAAAGTGTGTGCCACGTTGTTTTTTGCTGGCGTGATGCGTTCGTTCGTTCGTTGCCCATGCCAGGTGTGAGGTGTGAGGCCATGATTCCATCAGGAGCCCATGTACTTGATGGCAAGCTTTCCAACATGATACCGAAGATACCGATGGGAATGCTTCACCAACCCCCCTCCTCTTGTCGCGAATGCGCTCCCCGTTGTGTTTTCCGGTTCTCTCTCCCTCGTTTTTTCTTGCTCCCCGCAGCTGGCCGACACTCTCGCCGCCATTCCGCGAATGAGACCGGAGGCCTTCAACCGCCTTTTCGACGATAATCTTCAGGACCTACTCATGGTGTCTTATCTCAGCAGCCTAACACGGACACAGCTCGCGATAGCAGAGAAGCTGGCCACGTGATGGATGGTCGAACCCTTCGGGACCGGGATTGCTCTTTTAGTATGTTGGGGGATGAGTTAAGGTCCAGGTCTTGATGTTGTCCAGAAGACATGCAGCGGGTGGGGGGCGAATGCACGAATGAATCCAGCCACTGTACGTGGGTTGGGTGAAGGAAAATGTCAGGACGTTGTCGATATCTCCGCAGGCTCAAACAGAAGAGCTCGGAAGGAGGGAGGCGTTGGTGTCGGTTCGGTTGGAGACAAGACTGATAGAGGACCTGTTCCCTAATGGTTCTCAGGGTGCTCCTAGATGTTGGCAGGAGGGCTAGCCATGTACGCCTCTCGACGAGACATGCATGTAGCTCGCGACTGCTGATATAGAATGGCACCGTATGTCGACTGGATATTGACCGCTCTTCCATCGTTGCAACGGTAGAGTGCTGTGCGGGGCTAGTGCAGGGGTCTTGCTGCTGCCCGCCGGCGATCGAGCGTTTTGGACCTGTTGATATCGAGTGTTGCCGATGCAGGTCGAGGGGGCCCAACGCAGCATGTTCATTGCGCTATGCATTTTTTTTTTTTCATTTTGGTGACAGTGGAGAGGCCAAGATATGCTTGGCGAGGGTATGCGGCTCCTTTTTTTCTTGTAGTCACAAAGCCGTTTCGTGTGCTCCACGATTTTAGAGGGAATTCGGGAGAGACCAACACGAACAAGTCGAGAAAATGATAAGTCGCGAGGCTTGGGTCAAGGGAAAAGCCAGTGCTCTCCTGTGGGTATCGACGTGGAACGCGTTCCTCATCCATTTTCACACAAGGGCGGAGGACCAGGGCACTGAGCTCTAACCATTGGCTGAGTATTTGGGTCTGAGATCGGCTCTCTGCTGCTTCTGTGCCTAACGGTAGGGTGAAGCAGCAGTACACGTGACGTGTGATCAATTGTTCGTGGGGCAACGGGACACGCTCGAGATAAGGCTGTGTTCCGTAGGATGTGTGATGTGGTCAGAGCCTCCATCCACCCTCCACCACCCGTGGTTGAAAATAGTGAAATAGTGGGTGTTTCATCATGGAGTATTATATTGGTTGGGAGGTTTGAACGTGGACACCACCCACCAACAACGTGCGACATGACATCGACGCTGCCCCTTGCCGGAGGCGGGGATTGGTTGTGGACAGAGAAAACTAGCTGTGGTAATGCAACCAACCCTTTTTTCGGATGGTTTCCATCGTGACTGGTTTCCATGTTTGCGTCAGCAATCGCCGGCAATGGACTCAACTACGTTAACACTCGGACGACCTCGTTCTGCTTCGCCTTAGGACAAGAGATGAGCCGAGAGACAGAAGTAAGCAAGGACACTCGTGGAATATGTACTAGTAGTGCACGGACGGAGGTGCCGTTTCTTGTGTGCGGACTAATGAAATACACCACCATTAAACGAACTGCTGTTTGCACTGCTGTGACGCTACCAATCTCAACACTCGCATGCATTGTGTTGATGGGCTGTTGGTTACCCTGGCCACGCTTTTGTTTTGCTCCTGAAAAAGATTCTTCTGACGAACAGAGATTGGGGGAACCAACCAACATTGTTGTTATGCCCTTCCTTGTGCTTCACGCATGAACCATGAAACCCTGCCACATCGGCATGTTGAGAGACGAATCCGATGGGGAGATGGTATCTCCTACAACACTCGAAGTGTTGCCCGTTACGTAATAAGTGTTTTGGAAGATTCGGTGACTCATGCACCTGCAAACACGGCCACTCGCCGTATCTTATTTGTATACATGAATGGTGGGGTTTTGGATGTTCGTGTTTTCGCGCGTGTGCGACATGCATGTCTCTATCACGCTGCACTACACACGACTACCGTGTGGCCCGCCCTTCCTAGTGTTGGAGGTTGAGGTGCAAGGGCCAAGAGGTAGACCACTTAAAAAATCTTTGGAGCTAACAAACCGATGCACGACGCACTAAACTCGCTCCAGCAATCTATTGCGTGTAGATTGGCCAATCAACGATCGCCATCCGACGGTGCATTCTTTTACAGTCCGGACCCCCATGAGGAGCATTCGTTGGGGGCAGGACAGAGCACAGAGCGCAGAGGGAGGAGGAAGGAAGAGGGAGAGAGGCAGCACGCTCAGCAGAAGCCATGCTGTTGCCGGAGCCAAAAAAGACAGACCTGAAGGTGAGATAGGTAGGCGCGGTGCCGCCGCGGCGTGGCGGCAAGCCGAGCAAGTCGTAGCAACGGAGAAATGGCATATTCCGATCGAGCACAACAACACACCTGGTGCTAGATATGATTCCATGAGCCATGGGGTGCCTTATACCTACATACAAGCCAGCGAAGGAAGTGAACGAGGAGCTCTATCTGTGCCCTTCATGAAGTAGCTTATATCTGTGGTTGGTGGGCTCATGCTTAGGGTTCTTCGCAATCCTGTCGTGCTGAATGGGCTTGTAGCGATCTCTACTCGACTCTCCCGACGTGTCTCGTTGTGTGTGAGGTCATTCTGAGGTCATTTTTCCTCATTTCCTCTTCGATTCGAATTGTTTTAGGAAAAATCTCGACTGCCTTTAGCGCGAGGCACTCTTTGACTCGCACTAGGGTCACGATGTGCTGTGCGGCTTGGCTCCTATGACAGAAAGCTCTACTCAATCAAGCACACCATCGCAGCGAGTTCCACAAGCGTTCGTGTCTGTGGCTGTGTATAATAGTCGATGCTCCAGCATGGTCGTGTTGGATTGGACGTTGTTGGTGGTGGGGTCGCCAAGTAAATCGCGGCCTGTCAGCAGCTGTTCTACCTTCGTGAGGGATGGTCGCATGAAGGAGCCAACAAACTGTCGGCGCTGTGTCAGAAGACTCCCCAGAGCGACACCTTGACTGGCCATCCACGACGCTGGCTGGGTAGGACGACAGCGGTTCGGAGGTCCATTATGTCGCTCTGCATGGCGTGTAGCGTGGGGCAGCGGCTGCCATTCGCTCTCTTGAAGTTTGGTGTTGTTGGTGGGCGAGCCGGCTCCGAACCGGCACACCTTATTTTCACGCTATGGGGTGCGCTGTTTGCTATGTGATCGGAGTACAGCAACAAAGGCAGCACATGGTCAGCCCTGCCTCCTCGCCTACCGTGGAGACTGCAGTACCTCTCTTGTTGAGCGTTGTCGTTGGAAACGTGCATGTTGTTCGCACATTCGTCTTGCAGTTTGCGTATGTGTGCGGACAGACTTTCCAGTGGTGACGTGGAACAAACGGATTGCCACCCTAGGGTTGAGTTTTGGTTTTGACAAACTCTTGGCGTGCTGGCTGGGAAATCAGCACGCGAGGAGATTATACACCAACCCTGATCTACGGTAACTTTACAGCTGTGGTGCCTGGTTTGCAGCCGGTTCGAAACTTGTTCGCAGTTTGCTGCTGCTGCTGTGTCACCAGGCAGCGACAAGGCAAATATGTAGCAAAGCCCGAACTGCAACTCCTGTTGGACTTCGTACAACTTATTTCTGTAGATAGAGATGGATTTGTTGTGTGATGTAAGAAAAAAAAAACATCACCTCTTCAGGTGGACCAGCAGGGACATTAGAAGGTACTGAGTGGAGACCGGAACGGTTTTTAATGTGAAGACAACAACAACAACAACAAACCTCCAATTTGTTGTGTCGCCTTGAGAGTAAACTGGACTGATCCGGTAGAATGACAGAACGAAATATATACTAGAACAGCATCACTGCTACTGTTCCACTAATATACTCATGTCCTATTCAACACTCTATTTTACTGCACTATTCCAGGGTTCACCGAAAGGCAAAATCGTCCCCGGCTTTCCGACGGAAAGCGTCAGGGAATTCTCGCCGGATCCATCATCACCGACATCAGCATCGCCAATCATGGTGCGTTCGTTATGTCGGAAGCATCTGTGGATGTCTCGCCCACCGCCGCTGGTGTGGAGGATTTCCAGTGTTTTTGTTTTTTTCTTGCGCGCAAGAAAAGGCGTGTGTGCGTGTCCAACCTCTTGTTGAAGTTGTTTTTATCCCGTCTGTTCTGTGAGCCAGTCACTGCTTGGAGTTACACGTATGCATACACCTCTGGTTTTTATGTTTCTCGCTCCAGCCGTGAGTTGGGCTTTCATCCAACATCACACATAGGCTTCCGCCCTCTTACCTTGTGCGTGTGCATTGTAGTGCGGGTATGTTGGTGATGAAAATCAACCGTCCGAGAAACGATACAATGTAGTTCTCACAAGCGTTTTTGCAACAACACAAGATGACCAGATGTTTGTCTCGCTAATGACCCATGTAGCACGTAGTCCCGGAAATTTATTCTCGCACAGCCACCTTCGCTACAGTGGGCTCAGTTTGTTACCGCTGATACCTTTGCCGTGTCGTGTTGGCCAATCGTTGTGCACCAGGTGCGGCGCATCTCAATGGACGACAAGGCCAAGCTGAAGGCGTTTTCCATCGAAAACGACAGCGCCGGCTGGCTTAAGAAGAAGCTCTTCAAGAAGGTGACTAACCCTAGCCCTAACCCTAACCCTCACCCTCATCCTCACCTAACCTAAACACTAAAAATTGACAACAGTATATGGCTGACCCGAGTAGTGCCTTCAAGATGTTGAACGTCTCTGAATCGGGAGCCCATATGTGTTTTACCTATTATCGTTTGGTTGCAGACTACACTCGGTGCAGTGCTATGTTTTCTCAACGTGATACACAGGAGCGTTTCACAAGAATGCGACGGGGAGGGGCATGAGGGGCGGTGGGGTGCTCTCTCCGCCTTCCCCCTTGTTTCCCTGTAGCCCACCCGGGGGTGAGCCACACGGTGCCCCCCCCCCCGCACATACGGGGCCCCCAACACGAGAACGTCCCCACCCCCATCAGCAGGGGTATCGATGTGATTTCGTGTGCATACACATTTGCTTCGCCGAATCGTCAGCTCAGACCCATCGTCTTCGAAACCGTACACTACTGTCCTCGCGCGCACCCCACACAGGAAGTGACATGGCCGCGGGAGCTTTACTTGAACGTTCTCGGGTGCAAGGCCCTGGTGCCGCAGTCCGCGGTGGGTGAGGATGGGCCTCTTACCGCCACGGCGAGCGTGACGACGGACGGGGAGAATGGGGACGTTGCGGGTACTGCTGCTGGTGCTGGTGTTGTCTTGTCTGGAGTGGGGGGTGACATGGACGCCAAAGCTAACCCTGAACCCGCCACCCCTCCGCCAGGTATGTATTGGAAGCTCAGCTGTGTTGATTCGCCTATCGTATGGTATACCCTAAGCAGACCCGCAGTAGTCGATGACGGCAGTTTCGTGCGGCAATAGGCGCGCCACACAGGCTTTCTACAGTGTGCCCGAGAACTTGGAAGCCCGTATTTTCCGCAAGACTTTATTTTCGCGTGTTGCGAGGCACCGGTGTGTACAGCAAGAGGGCCGGTGCAACCCATGGCGCTGCGCCTTGGATGTGGCTTTGGTCCCAACGGAGCGCGGAAGATGAATAGGTTTAGGTTGATCCGTTGCCAAGACCGGTAAAGGGAGGTAGGGTGTACCCGGGGCTCCGTGTCTGGGATACGATTTTGCCGTGATTTTGGTCTCGTGTTTGTTTTGTCATCAACCATATGTTTCACGTGTGCTTGCGGTGATGAGCGGTGTCAGTCTGTGCTGTGTTGTGGCGTGAGTCTTGGTGCGCATACGTAACACGTAAGTAATAACGATGTACACTGCATTTGGGCCACACAAGGCGGCGCATTGGGTGCAGCCGGAGAAGTGGTTGTCGCTAGCCCCGGTACAGCTGACGGGACTGTCAACAGGACCATCAGCGGGAGTGTGAGCGACAATCTATCGCGGGGATTGGACACGGATTCGGAGGGAGGGATGGAGTCAGGAGACGAGGCCACGAGCACGTTAGGAGATGGGGCCGAACCGGTCGAAGACGTCAACGAGCTGATGTCGGCCGTTTCGTCCAACGTGGAGGGGGCGGAGGTGAAGGACGTGAAGGGGGTGTGCTTTGTGCGCGTACGTAACGCCACGACTGGCCGCGACTTGCAGGTGAGCAAATGGTTGGATGCCGCCTGCCCGCGTGGTGGTCTCTACATCCGCTCCAAGTTGTTATTTTATTTTTTGCTTTTTGATTGCCCACGATGTCTTCGCCCTCTCTCGCTCGTGCTCTCTTTTCTGTATGGTGAAGTAGTACTCTCTCTCTTCTTTGCGGTAGGTAAATAGCACTTTTGTTCCACGCATGCCCTTCCGTGGTA